GAAGGGTATGATCTCAGGCCTGGGTAAAATATGTGTGAATCCATGTTCTTCTCAAATACTATTGGAAATATTGGCCCCTATAATTTGATCCCTTCAAAATATTAAATTTACTCCAAGCAAATAATTAAGGACATATGCAAAAATTTAGCTACGAGTTGATGATAGCAAAAAATTGGAGGTAACCTAACATTTAGGTTGCCCTATCTTAGAGGAAGAGTTAAATAAACAATGGCACATGCATGCAATGGAATTCTTATAGCCACTTGAAAAGATGTTGCAGAGGAAAGTTTGATGATGTAATAAGATGATCAAGATGTACTGAGTGAAAAATGCAGTTCACAAAATAGTATACACAGCATTCATTTTTAACCCTTTTGGGGTCCACATACCTCTTTGAATATCTGAGTAAAATGTACATTATCCTGGGCTTCCCTGGTGGTGCAGTGGTTGGGAGTCCGCCTGCCGATGCAGGGGACACGGGTTCGTGCCCCGGTTCGGGAGGATCCCACATGCCGAGGAGCGGCTGGGCCTGTGAGCCATGGCCGCTGAGCCTGCGCGTCCGGAGCCTGTGCCCCGCAATGGGAGAGGCCACAACAATGAGAGGCCCACGTACCTCAAAAAAAAAAAAAGTACATTATCCTGGATGGTATTTCCCAAGCTTTGCTCTTAGCAGTTTACCCATAAAACTTGAGTTTCTCCTTGGTTTGTAAGTTAGGTAAATCATGTAATACTGACTTTGAAACTTTCCCCTAAATTTTATATAAACAAAAAAACTTCACGCATAACTTGTTTAAGAGGAGATCTACTATTCATTCAGATGATGTTAATGTTCTTAGTGCTCGTTTTTGAAGGTCTTTCACTCATTCATTCTCACATGTGAAATACTCAGCAGAAAGCCTGACAAGTAGTAAACAAACATACAAATGATACTGTTATTTTCACTCACATGCATTGATTTATCCATTCAAATCCTTGTTGAACAACTACCTTGAAATGGCTAGCCGGTGATAAATAAGACTGATACAGTTCTGCTCTCCTACAGCTTTTTTATGCCTATTGGGGGAAGCAGACATCAACCGACCACTAAAGAAAAAGGGAGACAGTGCTACAAAGTGGAGATAGAGAGTATCATGCTAGCATAGGTGGGGGCACCCAGCCTCTGCTGAGATGTCAGGGAAGCTAAGATCCTAAGGGTGAACTGACATTAGATTGGAAGTTGGGGTAGAGTGGATGGGAAGGAAGCAGCATTCCAAGCAGAGGGAATAGCATGTGCAAAGGGCTCTGAGTCAACACTTGACCTGGATTCCAGTAGATTTTCATAATTTAGAAAAGGTATACTCTTAGTCATTGGCAGTCAAGAGAAGTATAAGCATCGCTTCTTCAAAATGGACTTCTTTCTGTTTTCAAAGTTTGTCTTCCTTAACTCTATTTAGATTGGATGTCCATTGCAATTATGGTGAACTTCCCAATACCTCCAAGTATATGCAGGATGTATTGTGGGAAGTAAGCCAGCAAGATTGTTCAAAGACAAAGATCGAGCAAAGACAGCATTTGATCACCATTATTTTTCTGGGGAAAAAAAGGTTCTGCTTGCCCCATAGTGGGTACAGATGATCCGACTTTCTTCCTTCGAAGCCTCTTTGAATATATAAATAGATGCAAGTTCACCAGGAATTAAAAATATGGTAGATCATTTTGCAGGCATATTTGACTAGACTGGACCCTCTTATCAAGTGTCAATTATATCAAATTTTGCAGCAGGCTTGAGTCCATGAAACCAGACTTTGTGGAAGAGAAAGTTCAGTGCAAGTTCACAGGCAAAGGATGTGACAGAACCACTTTGCAAATACGAAAGATTGAAAGAAACGTTACTTCCCCATATTTAAGCATTACCAGCCTCCCTCCTCCTACATAACATAGTATAAGATAATATTGCAAACAAATGCCCAGACGGATGCTGAATTATTTATAAGAACAGGCTACTGATGTGGATTAGAGAGAAGAAATAACAAAGCAAGAAATAATAATGTTATTGAGACTGATAAAGTAAAAGTACATAAGCAAATGTGAGTGAACAATATCTCTAGAGATTTACACCCACAGAAAAGCTGTATGCTGTCACTTGGTTCATGTAGATCCTTACTTGAGAAGAGAAACAACACCTGGGGAATTAGCTGTACTGTATTACTTAACATTTATTTATAACTTTTCAACAATTTCCATAACCAGCATTATTTAGTCACAGATGTCTCGGTAATCAGGATCACGGGCTCTGACAGCCATATTTTTTTAAAACAGATGATTTGTAGTATCTCAACGATGTTTGACAATTTGGAACTTTCCAGTCCTTGCCTATTCACTATTGTATTTTTACAACAGACTGCGTCAGCAATGGCAATTAGAAGATTTAGAAGCTCTATTCTAGTGCTCTTTTCAAAAGAAATATCTAAAGACTATCTGTTTCTGAGGACTTTATTGTTCTGTTTTTTTCAGATGTGAGTGGCCAAGATAGTATTTAGATTTTGGCTATGAGCCAAGAGGAAATCTCAATGGTTACCACTGAGGTAGGGATACAGAAGAGCTAAGAATCTTAAGAGGGCCCTTTCTCTTTTCAGAAAGTTATTCTAGGGTGAAGATGTGCTCCCAAAGCTTCCTGATGTGCCACATCTACTAAATCCTCCTAATTTTAAAGGACTGAATCAGGTTTCCTTACAGTATAGCAAAACCATATTTAAATTAAATCATAGCTTTAAAAATTAAAATATCGATAATCCTCTCTATTCCTGATTAGGATTTAGAAGGCACACAATGTACCTTGCAATGCATTTTTCCCCCGTGTGGGCAGGGACTTTTTCATGAAGTCAGATTTGTCTTTTTTTGTTGTTCTTACTCTTTTATCCCCAGTGCCTAGAACAGTGCCTGGCCCAGAGTAGGTGCTCCACAAACATGAATGAATGAATTAATGTATTGAAGCAATTAAAGTAAACCAGAACAGAAACACTCATGTGACCTATACGTATAGACCTTAGCAGTCTGGGACCACAAAATTGAGTCACATTTGATGCCCACTTTATGATGGCTTTGAGCCTCTGCCTGGCTCTATGGGAAGCTAACCCTCAACAAATAGCCCCAGGTATTTCTTAGAGGTCCTGAATGTGAGGGATCCTGTGTGTTTAGAAACAGAACCGATAGTTTCTTCTCTAGCCACATGGCTGAGCCATCCTGCCCCAACCAGACTCCATCTGTAGCACTGGGAGAGAGGTTACTGTTTTCCTCTTTGCTACTCCATCCCAAGCCTGACACAGACCCTTTCCTTAATTCCCCATGGCACAGCTGAAACCAGGCTGCAATTTGGGGTAGGACTTGATTGAAAGTTTAGTACAGAGTGTTAAAAACAAAATTCAGTGGAGTAAATTTGAAGATCTAACTGGCTTTATTCAACAATTCATGAATCGGGCAGCATCCCATCAAGCAAATAGAAAGGTATTCTGAGGAGCCGTACAAAATAAGAGAGTTTTATAGAAGTGGGCAGGGACAAGGAAAGAGCAGATTACCTCATCTTTCTTTGGGGAACAGAAGGAGTCTATCATGTGGATTACCTCACTAGTACTGACCTGGAAATTCCAGATGGACCGGTTTAAGATTACGTTCCTGGGAGGAGGTGAGGCTGCAATTAGGTTGGGTATTAAGTCTTGGTTTGCTGATGTGGGTCTTAGCACAAGTGACTCCATTTTGGACCTGTTGTCTCTTTTTAACCTGGTGAACATCCCAATGATTGCTGCTATGTTAGGTTGTGCTTAGAGCCCATGAATCCCAAATCTGGCCTCATGAGACTGGAGGCACTGTCTCCACATGGCAAGGGCCAGTTCCTTCCCACTGCTGGGAGTCCCCTTCCACTAGGTCACACTGCCTTCTACAACATTTGCAAATACGTGAGTGCCTAATGCTTGGTCCAAACAACAAATGCTAAGGACATTCAGGTCCAGGTGGTCAAGGGTACCTTTACCATAAAGGTAAGAGCTGTTGCTACTTGAAAAATATAGAAATGAGCTAAAAGGTGATCCTGATATTAGGTAATGCAGCTACAACTACGTTTGAACAGAGGAACATCTGCTTCTCAGGCTAAATAGCCAGAAAGTTTAGTCCGGGTAGAAACTGTCCCGGATTATGTCAAAAAGCCAGATTCTACAGCATGTTGACTTCACATTCAAGTGTAAAGTTAGGCTAGATTTTTTTAAAAATCAGGAATCCATAACAGGTCTTTTATTTTTGTCTGTTGAGGTTTAGATTTGCTTTTGAGGCAAAATACTGGAAAGAATGTGATGCAGAAGTAGTGGTCACTTTAACACAAGTCCACTTCTTCCTCCCCACCAGTTTCAGTGGAACATTCCATCCCCCAAAATTCCATTTGCTTTTGGTACCCACCCTTGGTTCCCCCACTATGTGGAGAAACCTAACCATCCTGAGTTCTCAGTGTAATGAAACATCTTACTTGTGAGTTTTATATCAACAGGGAATCGATTACAGAACAACCTGTGTTCTACAACTTTTGGCAACCTGAACCTTTGTGAGCAAGGCACTGGCATTTCCTTGTCTATCGGTATTGAGCTAACTTTGTGGCATTAAATGGAGGCGATGATGGCGTTGTCACTGAGATGACAAGCAGGACTGTGGGCATGGCTCTTTCAGGGCCTCCACAGACCTACCGAACTCTGCCTACTTGGATGGTTTAAATGAATCAGTAATTTTGCTGAGGCTTTTAAAAAATGTTACCTTGGGCTTCCCTGGTGGTGCAGTGGTTGAGAGTCTGCCTGCCGAGGCAGGGGACACGGGTTCGTGCCCCGGTTCGGGAGGATCCCACGTGCCGCGGAGCGGCTGGGGCCGTGAGCCATGGCCACTGCGCCTGTGCGTCTGGAGCCTGTGCTCCGCAACGGGAGAGGCCACAACAGTGAGAGGCCCGCGTACCGCAAAAAAAAAAAAAAATGTTACCTTATGCCACCTCCAAATTTTATATTTCTTCCATGTTTATAAATACCACGTGAATTCATCTTATTGAAGAGAGGAGATGCGATGTAACAGTTAAGAACAAGGACTCTGGAGGCAAGTGGGTCAACTCTGTCGTGTTCTAGTTGCATGACCTGGGACAAGTCATTTCCTTTCTCTGAGCTGACTTTGCAAAACAGGGAGATAACTCCTTCCATCCAGGGCTGCTGAGAGATTTAAAGGTAAAACTGTATGAAGGTACTTCACAAAATGCCTGCCACAATGTCAATGCTCAAAAAGGGGTAGCTACTATTATTCTTGATTTTGTCTCATGTTTCAAATTTCTTGGTGGAAGAATCATGACTATTTTTTTTCTTCCATTCGTACCCAACAAGATTGTTGACGGTGTTTGTGTCTATACCAGCATTATCTAATCACTAACGTAAGTCATGGAAGCAGATGTTCTTGCTTCAGGTTTATTCCTCTCCATGCCCTGTTTGTGGGTGGGGTGATCTCTCCCCTCTCCCCACTTATCTCATCCTCCACCCCTTTATCATCCACTTTCAGAATCAGGGTAGAAAATGTGGGCATACCACTACTGGTTTTTAGCACAGTTTTTTTAAAAAACATCTTTATTGGAGTATAATTGCTTTACAATGTTGTGTTAGTTTCTGCTGTATAACAAAGTGAATCAGCTATATATCCCCATACCCCCTCCCTCTTGTGTCTCCCTCCCACCCTCCCTATCCCACCCCTCTAGGTGGTCACAAGGCACAGAGCTGATCTCCCTGTGCTTTGTGGCTGCTTCCCACTAGCTATTTTACATTTGGTAGTGTATATATGTCAATGGCACTCTCACACTTTGTCCCAGCTTATCCTTCCCCCTCCCTGTGTACTCAAGTCCATTCTCTACGTCTGTGTCTTTATTCCTGTCCTGCCCCTATGTTCTTCAGAACCATTAAAAAAATTTTTTTTACATTCCATATATATGTGTTAGCATATGGTATTTGTTTTTCTCTTTCTGACTTACTTCACTCTGGATGACAGACTCTAGGTTCATCCACCTCACTACAAATAACTCAATTCTGTTCCTTTTCATGGCTGAGTATTATTCCATTGTATATATGTGCCACATCTTCTTTATCCACTCATCTGTCGATGGACACTTAGGTTGCTTCCATCTCATGGCTATTGTAAACAGTGCTTCAATGGACATTGTGGTACGTGACTCTTTTTGAATTATGGTTTTCTCAGGGTATATGTCCAGTAGTGGGATTGCTGGGTCATATGGTAATTCCATTTTTAGTTTTTTAAGGAACCTCCATACTGTTCTCCATAGTGGCTGTATCAGTTTACATTCCCACCAACAGTGCAAGAGGGTTGCCTTTTCTCCACACTCTCTCCAGCATTTATTGTTTGTAGATTTTTTGATGGTGGCCATTCTGACTGGTGTGAGCTGATACCTCATTGTAGTTTTGATTCGCATTTCTCTAATGGTTAATGATGTTAAGCATCCTTTCATGTGTTTGTTGGAGATCTGTATATCTTCTTTGGAGAAATGTCTATTTAGGTCTTCTGCCCATTTTTGGATTGGACTGTATTTTTTGGATATTGAGCTGCATGAGCTGCTTGTATATTTCAGAGATTAATTCTCTGTCAGTTGCTTTGTTTGCAAATATTTTCTCCCATTCTGAGGGTTGTCTTTTCATCTTGTTTATGCTTTCCTTTGCTGTGCAAGACTTTGAAGTTTCATTAGGTCCCATTTGTTTATTTTTGTTTTTATTTCTACTTCTCTAGGAGGTGGGTCAAAAAGGATCTTGCTTTGTGATTTATGTCAAAGAGTGTTCTGTCTAGGTTTTCCTCTAAGAGTTTTATGGTGTCTGGCCTTACATTTAGGTCTTTAATCCACTTTGAGTTTATTTTTGTGTATGGTGTTAGGGAGTGTTCTAATTTCATTCTTTTACATGTAGCTGTCCAGTTTTTCCCAGCACCACGTATTGAAGAAGCTGTCTTTTCTCCATTGTATATTCTTGCCTCCTTTATCAAAGATAAGGTGACCATATGTGCGTGGGTTTACCTCTGGGCTTTCTATCCTGTTCCTGTTCCATTGATCTATATTTCTGTTTTTGTGCCAGTACCATACTGTCTTGATTACTGTAGTTTTGTAGTATAGTCTGAAGTCAGGAAGCCTGATTCCTCCAGCTCTGTTTTTCTTTCTCAAGATTGCTTTGGCTGTTCAGGGTCTTTTGTGCTTCCATACAAATTGTGTGAAGTTTTTTGTTCTAGTTCTGTGAAAAATGCCACTGATAGTTTGATGGGGATTACATTGAATCTGTAGATTGCTTTGGGTAGTAGAGTCATTTTCACAATGTTGATTCTTCCCATCCAAGAACATGGTATATCTCTCCATCTATTTGTATCATCTTTAATTTCTTTCATCAGTGTCTTATAATTTTCTGCATATGCATCTTTTGTCTCCTTAGGTAGGTTTATTCCTAGGTATTTTATTCCTTTTGTTGCAATGGTAAATGGGAGTGTTTCCTTAATTTCTCTTTCAGATTTTTCATCATTAGTGTATAGGAATGCAAGAGATTTCTGTGCATTTACTTTACCAAATTTATTGATTAGCTCTAGTAGTTTTCTGGTAGCATCTTTAGGATTCTCTATGTATAGTATCATGTCATCTGTAAACAGTGACAGCTTTACTTCTTCTTTTCCCATGTGGATCCCTTTTATTTCTTTTTCTTCTCTGATTGCCATGGGTAAAACTTCCAAAACTATGTTGAAAAATAGTGGTGAGAGTGGACAACCTTGTCTTGTTCCTGATCTTAGTTGAAATATTTTCAGTTTTTCACGCTTGAGAATGATGTTTGCTGTGGGTTTGTCATATATGGCCTTTATTAGGTTGAGGTAAGTTCCCTGCATGCCTACTTTCTGGAGGGTTTTTATCATAAATCGGTATTGAATTTTGTCAAAAGCTTTTTCTGCATCTATTGAGATGATCATATGGTTTTTATCCTTCAATTTGTTAATATGGTGTATCACATTGATTGATTTGTGTATATTGAAGGATCCTTGTATTCCTGGGATAAACCCCTGTTCATCATGGTGTACAATCCTTTTAATGTGCTGTTGGATTCTGTTTGCTAGTATTTTGTTGAGGATTTTTGCATCTATGTTCATCAGTGATATGGGCCTGTAGTTTTCTTTTTTTTTGACATGTTTGGTTTTGGTATCAGGGTGATGGTGGCCTCATAGAATGAGTTTGGGAGTGTTCCTCCCTCTGCTATATTTTCGAAGAGTTTGAGAAGGATAGGTGTTACCTCTTCTCTAAGTGTTTTATAGAATTTGCCTGTGAAGCCATCTGGTCCTGGGCTTTTGTTTGTTGGAAGATTTTTAATCACAGTTTCAATTTCAGTGCTTGTGATCGGTCTGTTCATATTTTCTATTTCTTCCTGGTTCAGTCTCAGAAGATTGTGCTTTTCTAAGAATTTGTCCATTTCTTCCAGGTTGTCCATTTTATTGGCATATAGTTACTTGTAGTAATCTCTCATGATCCTTTGTATTTCTGCAGTGTCAGTTGTTATATCTCCTTTTTCACTTCTAATTCTGTTGATTTGAGTCTTTACCTTTTGTTCTTGATGAGTCTGGCTAATGGTTTATCAATTTTGTTTATCTTCTCAAAGAACCAGCTTTTAGCTTTATTGATCTTTGCTACTGTTTCCTTCATTTCTTTTTCATTTATTTCTGATCTGATCTTCTTTCCTTCTGCTAACTTTGGGGGTTTTTTTTGTTGTTGTTCTTCTTTCTCTAATTGCTTTAGGTGTAAGGTTAGGTTGTTTATTTGAGATGTTTCTTGTTTCTTGAGGTAGGATTGTAGTGCTATAAAATTCCCTCTTAGAACTGCTTTTGCTGCATCCCATAGGTTTTGCTTCATCATGTTTTCATTGTCATTTGTTTCTAGGTATTTTTTGATTTCCTCAGTGATCCCTTGGTTATTTATTTTGTAGTGTATTGTTTAGCCTCTATGTGTTTGTATTTTTTAGTTTTTTTCCTTGATATCTAGTCTCATAGGGTTGTGGTCGGAAAAGATACTTGATATGATTTAAATTTTCTTAAAATCAAGGCTTGATTTGTGACCCAAGATATGATCTATCCTGGAGAATGTTCCATGAGCACTTGAGAAGAAAGTGTATTCTGTTGTTTTTGGATGGAATGCCCTATAAATATCAATTAAGTCCATCTTGTTTAATGTGTCATTTAAAGCTTGTGTTTTTCCTCATTTATTTTCCTTTTGGATGATCTGTCCATTGGTGAAAATGGGGTGTTAAAGTCCCCTACTATGATTGTGTTACTCTCTATTTCCCCTTTTATGGCTGTTAGTATTTGCCTTTTGTATTGAGGTGCTCCTATGTTGCGTGCTTTTTAGCATAGTTTTAATCAAAAAACATTTTGCCTTTTGTATTGAGGTGCTCCTATATTGGGTGCATTTTAGCATAGTTTTAATCAAAAGACATTCCATATATTCCCTTAACACTAGGTGGTTTCTGTTTAAAAAACAAAACAAGACCCAAAATTATTTGTATAGACCAAAAAACATATTTGGTAACTGGATTTAAAAAGTTTTTTCAACCAGTCATGCAATGTACACTTAATAGAACTCTGAGACTCTTTGAGAACAAACTAGCAGGAATTGATGAAACATTTTACAGACTAAAAATTCCATTTAAGTCCTTGGTTTTGACCTGAGTGAATAAAGGGATAAGAATGCTGAATGGTCTACCCCCAAGAAGGGGGCCTGAAGCGGGGGAGGTCACCACCAGTGGCGTGTCACTGGCAGTTGACATGGCCTCAGCCACACTTCCTGACTCACCTGCAAGTGTCCCTTGGGCATCACTCAGGCTCTGGGGAAGCTCGCCTCCACCCTACACTCCTGCCTTGGCCATGCCTTCAGCCCAGCAATCCTTCCTCCCTTCCCGGGGAATTAACGCATTCATGACACCTATTAGAAGAGATGGTAGATCTGGAAAAGGAAACCAAAATGTGGTAGAGTGGGCAGAACACAGTTTGGGGAGTCATTGGCAAATCTAGCTTCAAGTCTGAGTTCTAATATGCTTTGGCTGTGAGCCTTTGAGTAAATCATTTAGCTTCTTGAGCCCAGTTACTTTATCTGTAAAACACTGCTTCCATTTTTCATAATCAGATATTTATTGAGTACTTTGTAAGTGCCAGGCATTGTTCTAGGTACCCAGTGTGCCACAGAAGGGGGTTAGAGGATGTGGGTAAAGGGTGTGGGTACAGAGTCCAGTTTTAAAAATAGGTCAGACAGAGGCTCACTGAGAAGGTGACTTATGAGTGAACATTTGAAGGAAGTGAGGGAGTGAGCCTTGAGGGCATCTGGGGGGAGAATGTTGCATGCAGAGAAGTAGCTAGTGCAAAGGCCCTGAGGTAGGAGGGAGCCTGTTGTGCTGGAAGAACAGTGGGGAGACCAGTGTGACTGAAGCTGGTGAGGAAAGCAGACAATAGTGCAGAGGGAAACAAGAGGGAGTTAAACTGTGTGCAGTTCTGTGGGTCACGGTGAGGACTTGGATTTTCACTGTGAGAGAGGATGGGAAGTCCTTGGAGGGTCATGAGCCAAGGACTTATGTTTTGGAAGGGTCACTCTGGCTGCTGTGTTGAGGATAGACTGTAGGTGGGCAGCGGTGTGAAGCAGGGACACACGTTAGGAGGCTATTGCCTCAGGCGAGAGAGGATGGTGGTTTGGACCAAGGCATAGCTGTGGAGGTGGCTGGATTCTGGACATATCTTGAAAGCAGAACAAACAGAGTTTGCTGATGGATTGGATTGAGCATGAGAGAAAGAAAATAGTTAAGGAGACCTCTGAGGGTTTTGGTATGAACAATTGGAAGAATTGTGTTGCCATTATTGGAGATGGGAAAGCTGGGGGAGGAACAGATTTGGGGTCGGGGGGAGATGGAGAATTGAGTGATAATGATAATATCTGCCCAGCCTCCCTCATGGGATTAAATGTGATGATTCATGGGTAATCTACCCTCCCAATATGCCTTACAGTTCCTAGTATTCAAAGACTCTCTCCCTTCCTATTCAGAGGCCGTCTGTTCTATGGAGAGTTGCCTCTCTTCCACTCTCAGGTGGTTGCAGGTGGTGGTTGGGCTCCTAGCACATGGACTCTTGGACCTGACAAGTATTATCTGAGCTATATTTAGGTGGATATTTTAGGATGGGTCTTCACAAACGTGACTCAAGTATGACTTAGCAGTAGATACCTTTATTTCTCCCTAGCAGAATATTGTTTCTAATTTTTCTTTTATATAGCAACCGATGTTGCCATGCAGATCCCTTGGTTGCTATGAGATGGTAACAATACTCTGCCCCGCGATTGGCGGGGGCCTCCTAAGCGGTGTGGTTCTCGCTTGGGTGACTGACACTGAGCTGTTACTATGGTGAACTTTACAATTTCCTTTGATTGGTGGATTTTAGAAATAGGTCGTCAGTGGAATTCATTACATTTTGTAAGTAAAAATGAAAAATAAGTATCATAACTTTTCCCCGTCTCCAACATGAAGGAAATGTGACACTTAATGACATAACGAATCGCTGTTGGATGACTTAGGAATCTTTTGAGAACCGAAGAGTGATGATAATCCCATGCTAAATTTTGGTGGGAAATATTTTCCTTCCTGCTTTGAGTTGATTATTCAGAGTTAGGGACATCAGGCTGACCAGAGTTGGGGTGGGGTTGGGGAGATGTGCGTGGACTGAAATGTAAACTCCCTTCTTTCTGTGGGAATAAAGGTGATGCTGGGGGCCTGAGTGTGGAGGGCAGGAGGGATGTGGGCTTCAGGCAGTGCTGATTAATGCTGCATCTCAGGACCAAGTATCCTCGTGGTCTCAGGAGGGTGCTAAGGCTTGGGTCATCAGACTCACCTCCAGAGAGGAAAGCCACTGAGTGCTCCTGGCTGGACATGGCTTGACACAGGGGTCTGAGAATCCAAGCAGGGCTTGTGCTATAGCTGAATCCTCCTCACTCCCATTCCCTCCCCAGCTTCACTCAGGTGGGTAGGCAGGTCCTGAAGGTTCAGTCTTCTGCTTGTCTTTGCCCTCAACAAATGGGAAAAGAGGGTAGAGGAATGAGTTTTAACCTTTCTGATTTTGTAACCTAACTTCCTCTCTACAAGAAAAAGTGGGAGAAAGCTGGAAGAACCTGGGAGGAAGGATGAATTATTTTAAGTACATCTGATCTACCTTTTTCCAACACTTGACTAACAGGTCCTGTTTGGAGTGATGGGTGGGGGAGTGGGGGTGGAGATGGGAATGAGGCTGTGTGGGAGGGAGAGAGTCAGGGAGCCCTCAAACAGAATACATAACAGATTAGGGTGCTAGGGCTAATATGTGACACCCAGAGCTGATAATTTCTAACACCTCCTTCCTACATGACAAAATTATTTTTAGTAATAATCACACAATGAAACCAATAATAATAGTCATTAAAGAAATTTTACTTTATGAAACTTTGTGCCATATCAATTAAAAAAATAAAATAAACATCACAATCTAAAAAAGGAAGAGTTATGAAGTAATATTTTCAATTTCATTAATGTATTTTTGAAGAAAGAGATGAAAACTTAGACCTACCTATTGGTCTTTTACAGTAATGAATAATAATGTTACAGTGTCTGTTTTTGCAATTAACTTCTGCAAATTTGTCGGTGACTTTGCCAAACTTGTTTTTCTTCACATATTCATGATGTGTCGATCCACCTTTGATCAAAGAATACTTTTCATTAGAAATTTTTATTTTGGACGGTTTCTTTCACATGAAACAACAGTTTAAATAAATAGGAAGTCTTCAACATAAGGCTACATTTGGGAGAAATGCATAAAAATCCCATTTCACAGTAAATCCCAGAAACTTTAAACACAATAAAAACTCCAAGTGGTCAAAGAGAATGACAGAATTGAAGTAACTCAAGTTCTGTTTGTCTTTACAATCACTGTGCTATCGTTATTTATTGTGAATCAATTGTTTGAACGCAGGAATTTGAAGGACAGACAGGCTGGACACTTGTGCCCAAAGCAAGCTTTCTTATGTACTTACTCTCAAAATAAATGCACAGAGTTAATTCTCTGAATCAACTTCCATGTAGAATATGTTTACTAAAGGAAAAGCAATAAAAAATGTGCTAAACTGAAGCTTACATTTATGTTGTTAAAACTCAAGAGCAATTGTTTGGAAACTAGACCAACAAAAGTTTTTTTTTGGTGAAGAGAGAGCAGTTTATTACTGACATTGTTTAGAATTGCTTGCCATGGTGATAATAGAAAGCAGACTGGCTTTTTAGCTGGTTTTATTGTTGTTTTTAAGTCTTCTCCAGGCCATGAACCCCTGGATGGGCCTCTGGAGTGGACCACTCCTCCCGCCCCAGCACTGCACTGAAGTAGAATTGCTCTGATTGTGTCTTGCTGGAGCCAAAGCACAGTAAAAGGTGATGATGCAGGGAACTGAAGGAATGACAGACCCTGAGAGGCTGTTGGTCAGTAAATATCTGGTAAATTCTCTGACCCTGATACAACCAAATGGATTTTTTTTTCACTTTTTACTCTCATAATAAAAGGAAAAAACAATCAAGCATCATAGCTTAAGTATCCTTCTTTCTCATAAAAACATTAGTGATTCCTGCAGCTTTGCGTGTTATTCATATAGCTCTTGTGTAGCCTGACATTTTCCCCTGAACCTTTTGCTATTTTATTCTATTCTGGGCCATTGTTTCTGACGCCTAATTTCATTGTGCACTGAACTCAGCACTGAATTTATTTTTACTAATAAAACATGTGACATGCTTTGCTGCGTCTTCAGAACTGGTTTAGTCATGGGGCAAAGGCATTGGACGCATGAAGTTGCAGGAACCATTACGAGGGCTAGAATGATTGGTAAGGGAAGGAGGAAGAAAAAAATAGCAGAAGTCACGACTTACCCTTCTAGGTTTGCTATGTATGACACTCCCTTTCTTTCCTGTCACCGCATCAGACATATATTTAGATCCACCCTTATATTGATAGATGGTTTCCTGGGTAGGGCAATTTAAAAGTGCTCATGCCTGAACTTCTACCATTAGTTCTGTATATTCCTTTAGGTTAAATATTGTTTGCTCTCCACGGGCCTCTGGAAAGCAGCTACCTCTGGAGTGTAGGTAGCTCTGGGAGGAGTAACACATCAAGTCTCTAACACTTTAGTATAAATGAATGTATTTGATTGCTCCTTCTGTTACCTGATTAGCAGGATATGCACCCTGGGTAACTAGAAAGTCATGGAGACACTTCTCAACTCAGCCCTGACAGCCTGGAATGTGTACGTTTGCTATAAGGAATTCCAAGTCCCTCTCTGAGAGTAAACAACAGAAAAAGGCCCACCCTGTTGATAAGAGGTCTGAAGGAACTTCATATGTAAAGAATAACATGTTTTAATTTCATTTCTCTCCCAAGAACCAGAACATCCTCCTAGCCTACAACACAGCCCCCCACTTTGCCCCAGGAGTGCTGGAGGCTTCGTGCCATCATTTGTGTCTCATTTTTATTCTACTCGCATATGTCTGGGGGGAGGGCCCTTTGAGATTTCTTCTTGGCTCTGCTTCAGGCTCCATAATAGCAATGGATCCGCGCTTCTTAATCCAGGGAAGGCAGGTGGCAGCAAGCCAAAATGGCCTCCATGGAGTGCGTTTGTAGGAGTGGCACTTTCAGCATGCATTAAAAAATCAGGAGCCAGGCAGGACAAAAGCCCAGACTGACAGCGTGCCCCTAAGAAGGGTGCCTGCACCAAGGTTTAAAAAAGAAAGAAAGAAAAGCATTTTCCTTTCTATTGAATTGAGTTAATGTTCTGTGCCAGCTTTTGTTCCTAGAAGCATCGTGTGTGTGTGTGTGTGTGTGTGTGTGTGTGTGTGCGCGCACACAAGCCTGTGGACATGCATGTGACTAGTTGCTCACACAGCTGCTACCTGAAAAATCAGAGGCAAGTTGTAGAGATGATGCTAGAAAGTGTTAAGAAGGCAGCTGAGAGGATGCCCATCAAGGTTACCAAGAACAAATGAAGTGGGGCTTCCCTGGTGGCACAGTGGTTAAGAATCCGCCTGCCAATGCAGGGGACATGGGTTCGAGCCCTGGTGCGGGAAGGTCCCACATGCCGCGGAGCAACTAAGTCCGTGCGCCACAACTACTGAGCCTGCGCTCTAGAGCCCACAAGCCACAACTACTGAGCCCACGTGGGACATCTATTGAAGCCCGCATGCCTAGAGCCCATGCTCTGCCACAAGAGAAGCCACTGCAACAAGAAGCCCGTGCACCACAACGAAGCGTAGACCCTGCTCACCGCAACTCGAGAAAGCCCGTGCGCAGCAACGAAGACCCAACGCAGCAAACAATAAATTAAAAAGAAAAAAAGAACAAATGAGGTGACCTTGACTTTGTTAATACTTTGTCTCCTCTCAAGGTTTAAAAATATATTTATGTCAATATATAACCCCAAAATGTTCATTAATTGCCTATTTGGGTGGTTCTGTTCATAATATGTATTTATCTCAAACATAAGTTGTTCATAGAAAGTATGAAAACTGCTCTAGATGTGGAATAGGGTCCATTATTTTAGGGTTGAGAACCACATATATAAATGTGGTACCACACAGATTCACACTCTTTTTCATGAGCCATGGTCCTTCACTATACATAGGTATTTTCCCAGGAATGTGTGTATAAGATAAATATTTTCAAATGAAATCATATTTTGCTTGCTCTAAAAAATGAAAATTCCTGTGACAAAACTTTCCTTTCTGAAAAGTATGAGTTAGGAATGAGAAGGTCATTGGCCTGGTCATTTTTCCTCTGTGGGCTCGATTTTCTCATCTACGAAATCAGAGGTGAGGGCAATGAATGATTTCTAAGACTCCATCACAGCTTTATCCTTCTGTGTTCCAAAACTGTTTTTAGTGTAAACAATCACCCCATAATTTGTCCATCATCTTTTTAAATCCAGAATTTTGACTCTGGGCTGCCTTACCTAAGGTTCACCTTAACTGGTACTAACAGGTTGTCTGAATTCGTTATTCCTTTCCATTATTCTTTTGGGATGAAGTGGAATGAGTCATAAGTGAGGAGGTTATAAAAGCACACACAGATCAACAGGAAGACAGAGACAGGAACGGGTAGCAAGACACGTCAGCATTTTCCCCCAGACAGCTTGAAAGCAAAAGCGGAGGCCCCATTGTTTGCTCACAGCTTTTGTACACTGACCTGTCAGAGTGGGACACCCGGCCACAGAGCATAGCCAGGAGCATTTCGTGGAAGCCGGCAGGCCTCAAATGCAAGCAGCTGCCCTGCAGGTGTCTGCAGGAGAGGAAAGTCTGGGAACTGTATGAATTACAGTAAGTAAGTCTTAGGTAGGACTCCACCTTTACCCTATTTGACAATTTCTTGAAATTCTCTCCATACCAAAAATGCCTTGAAAGAGGTTTTTTTTTCTTAGTATTTCCAGTGTGGGAAATTAAAACCCTCTTCCTTGGTGGTAGTAAAAATTCAGTAATTTTGCACCATTGGTGGCTTTTTGGTGATATAAATCCATTCTTCTGGAAATGGCCTATTGGCTAAGAATATTTATTAACATATTTTGAAGGAAATTGACAGTGAAATATGATCTGCCTCTAGATCATCACACAAATTACTCAATTTGTAGATATATAACCACACCATTTACAGAAAAGAATAACTTGATTTATGTTAACAGCCATTCTCTGAGCACCTATTCTTTGTCCAGTAGTGTGCTAGGGGTGAAGCGATCAAACCTTGCTTGCTGTATTTTAATATTCCTGGATGCCCTCCACCTATGGACCGAATGTTTATGTTCCCCATAATTCGTATGTTGAAATCCTACCCCCACAATGTGATAGTATTAGAAGGTGGGGCCTTTGGGGGGTAATTAGAATTAGATGAGGTCATATGGATGGAGCCCTCAGGAATGGGATTAATGCCTTTGTAACAGTCATGAGAGAGCTTGCCTCCTCTCTCTGCTCACCACCACGTGAGGTTACAAGGAAAAGATGACAGTCTGCAATCCAGAAGAGGACCCTCACCAGGACCTGACCATGCCAGCATCCTGATGTCAGACT